AGAACAGTTAAAACCTCAATTGCCAACATCACCTGTCATAATATACAAAGGAAATATCCTAAAATCAAACTCTAAGAAGTTCTCAAGCAGTATTTTCTTACTTTGCCTATCTGTAAATTTCAAATATTATTGATGGAAATATTTTTTCTTCAGTTCATGTGTGTACAGTGAAGTTGATGTTTACTGACATTTACTGATAAAAATCTACTTCTTCCAAGCCTAAGCATATTATAAGATACCTCACTGCATCTATCATAGGAAAATATCAGTAGTTTCGTAATACTAAAGAAAGAGGTTAACCTCAATTTTTATTTATATCCATGCCTGTCTTTTCCTCTCACCAGGCTTAGTCAATGTTCAGACAGTAAAAATATTCCCAAGTTATTTTATCTTCTCCTGCGGAATGTCCTCATTTGACCCTCAAACAGTTTTGGCTGACTCCTTGGCTGTCCTTTTTTGGACATGAACTCCCAGAAGGATTTAATGTGCCGTTAGACATTGGTAGACTATCCTTCCTGTTTTCAAACATTAAAAAAGATCTTTAATGAATCCTGAAAATATACTCCATTTTTTCATGTTCTATATGCTTAAAAAAATGAATTTGTCATGTTAATGTAGCCCTAATTCTTATTTAGAATGTTTGCATTAATGAGTATTGCATATATTTATATTTCTCAGGCAAAAACTTGGTTAAAGCTAGAATTAAATTCTAAATATTGATCAATAATTAGGCAATTTTTTAAAAGGAAAATGATCCCCCCCCCCACAAAACAACCCACAAATGTTTAAAAGCCTGGAAAATTCAAAGTTAAGTTTACATTTTAAAAAAATGAAATGGTTGTGCTGAAGTTCAAAACAATTTCAACTTTGTCCCCCATGACCTTCCTGCGGTACAGTTGTCACACGTATGAAATATAGAGAAAATTTGATGCAGGACCTTTGATAAGGAATGTGTTTCTAAGGCCTTTAAGAAATTTGCATCCTAGAGCTGTTGGTTTCTTAAATCCACTAAGTCATTGTATTTGAAATTTACCTGTGGGAGTTTTGAAGTACATAGATTTGTTTTTTGTGCATGTCTAAGCAGAGAACCCAGCAAAGTTTGGTCATGGATAGACCCTCTTTTGCTGCAGACTGCCCACCGGCAATATTCTCCTCCAGTGTATGATCATAACAATGACCTATCCAACTGATTCACTTGGGGTAGGGGGAAAATGGTAGTTATAGTCAGGACTGGAGGTGAAATCCTGATTCTATGGAAGTCCATAGGAGTTTTGCCAGTTATTTCAATGGGGCCAATTAATTCCTTTAAATGAAACTATTTTAAACAAAAAAAAAATGGATGCATTACCATTATCAGGCAAATGTGGTATATTGAAGTGTTTTTAAAAGAAATTTATTTCCGATTTCAGGTATTGCAGATGAGTTGGATTCTGTCAAAAGCATTGTCCTTGGACAAAGGGAAACAGAACTGAGAAAAAAGGAAATTAACTCAACACCTTAGATCTGGGATCAGGTACCGTGCTTTTCCTTGTGAGAAAACCTGGGATTATTTTGTTTCCAGCAAGAGATCAAAGGAAAGAGAAAACCATTTATTTCTGTCTCTGTACCTCTGTATATACAATACATGCTGCATCTTCTAAAACTGAATATTTGTGATTCTTAGAGAGACAAGGTGGGTGTGGTAATATATTTTATTGGACCAAGTTCTGTTGGTGAGAGAGACAAGCTTTCTTGGGACCGACATGGATACAGCTGCACTACATACAATGTTTGTGAATCTCTCATTTACCAGCATGGTGTGAAAACTCACAGGAGGCTGGTGTGCTCCTGGTAATAAATTCATTGTTAAAAAAGTCAAAAACTTGTTCTTTGAAAATACTTTGCATCACTGCTAAGCCATCCTCCTTAGTTTGATTCTGACAGGGACAATTTATCAAATAGATGGTAAGAGCCTATTTCCAAGAAAGTGCCTGCAGCATCCACTGCAGTTCCCTGCAAATGCAAAACACTACATTTGTGTATGTGGGTGAAGAGGCAGAGACATTTAACTACCAATCTGTGTGTTCAAATGAAGGTTCTCTTAAGGCCACACTGATATAACCATAAATGTTGCAAATGCATTTATTGTGATCCACTGAAAATCTGTCCCTCATCAAAGGTGAGGTATACTCAACCATTAACCTGAACAGGAGGAAGCAGTTAACTACAGATAATAAGATACCATTTTCAAGACTCAAGGTTCAGAACATTTAAAAACAAATTCTAGAAAATATCTAAAAAATTCTGCTCCCATTGTCCTGAAAAAAGTCTATCCTTCCTCTTGCCCAATGACACACAAAATATCTCCAACATATCCCTCACGCTTTTCCCTTTACTTTTAAAAATAAAATCTTACACAGGCAATGTACAGCTTTATAGAGAGAGAAAAAGAGTGAGGATGACATCATCCTGTATTATTCCCACATTCTCAGGTGCAATATATATTTTATTGTGGTGAATTATGGTGATATCAGGTATATAGATACCAATGCTTATATACCACAGAGATAGGTACCTTAGAAATTTTGATAGACAGACAGGCAGACTGGAATGGTAGAGTCATCCATTCTAATGAATTATGTATACCTATTCAGGTGTGTGCAAGAGTCACCAAAATTAATTTCCATTACTTTGTACTGCCAGGACAATATCCAAGAGTCTCCAAGTTTATCTCCACCTTGTTCATATCACAATAGTGCTATTTTTCTGTGCTGTTTTGAGTCACTATTGATTCTTAATAAGTTATTACTGGTGCATCATTTTTTGACTTAATTTGTATTGACACATACTTGTATTTTTACACTATTGCTTTGAGACAATGAGGGTGACAAGTTTTCACTTATGGTTGTGAACAACAAATAAAGAGTAGCTATAAATGACGTATGAGTCCCAGACAGCAGATCTGATGTTAGTTATGCCTGTCACTCTATTTATATCTATATTGAGAAAAATAATGAGTTCTGTGCCTTTATAATCCCCATATAGTATGCCAGAGCATCAGGTAGCGTAAATCAATGTAACTCTATTGATAGCCTAAGGGAAGGCCTACACTTAAAAAGCTGCAGCGGCACTGATGTAGCACTTTAGGGAGGATGCTACAATGCTAATGGGAGAGCTTCTCTCATCGGCATAGTTAATCCACCTCTGTGAGAGGCCGTAACTATGTCGATGGGAGAAGTTCTCCTGTCAATATAGCGCTGTCTACACCAGGGGTTAGGTTGTTATAACTGCATCACTCTGGGGTGTGGATTTTTCATGCCCCTGAGCAACATAGTTCTACTGATGTAAGTTTGTAGTGTAAACCTGGCCTAAGTTAAAGCAGCAAAGGTGCAGATACTCCTGACCTGAGGTTACAGGAACTTTTTACAACCTCTTCAATTATAGGCTTGGCTCAGCTCAACTCAGAGGGAGAGTAAATGCTTTACAGAGGCTATGAGATGAAGTAAGATTGAAGGGGGAATAAAAAAAAACCTGGAATGCTGAAAATTGCTTAGGGTCTCACAGCTTCACCCATCCCCAGAATGCTAGGATCCTGCTGAGAATCATAATGAAACCATCTAGGTAAGGAGCCTGTGATATCTTTCTGTTCTGTAGCCTCACTACCACAGAATCATAGAATATCAGGGTTGGAAGGGACCTCAGGAGGTCATCTAGTCCAACCCCCTGCTCAAAGCAGGACCAATCCCCAACTAAATCATCCCACCCAGGGCTTTGTCAAGTCTGACCTTAAAAACCTCTAAGGAAGGAGATTTCACCACCTCCCTAGGTAACCCATTCCAGTGCTTCACCACCCTCCTAGTAAAGAAGTTTTTCCTAATATCCAACCTAAACATCCCCCACTGCAACTTGAGACCATTACTCCTTGTTCTGTACCGAGGTGTATATTGCTTTCTACGTGGTACTGTGGTGTATTACCGAGGTGTAGATTGCTTGATACATGATACTGTGATACAACATACTATGACATCACATTGGAAATAAAGCCATAAGTCAATAAGGGCCCTCTGCAGCACTTTTCTACATTTTTTAGCTGTCTATTGTTCATAGGAAAAATCCCTATGAAGTCACAGGCCCAATTAAAGCAGCAATTAGGCAGTTACTCCTGGTCTGAATCTACAGGAACTTTTTACAACCCTAAATGATACACAGCAAGTCACTGTGTTGTCCTGAATAAAACCAAGTATCTCTGCTTTGCCTTTGGCACTTCCCAACTCCAGTATGATCCTATTACTGTTCCACAGGCAGCAATACAGACTGCTTCCGTTGAGTAATCTCAGCTACCCTAGCCAGCCAATTCTCAAAGTGGAAGTGCTATACAAGCAGGCTTTTTCACCAGTGCATCACAGTGCAGCAACAGGCCCTAAATCAGCTATCTCACACAAGGTTTTGTAGCTTGAAGTTCAGCTAATCCTGGATTACTGGGCCTGTACAAGGAATTGTGATGACTTTTCAAATCTGCAGACCCATGTACAAACGCTAGTTTAATTTGCACACATCACAAAACCATCACATAGCTGGCACTCGTCATTCCAGTGAGGCTTAAGACGGGAAAAACAGAAAGTGATGCTAGACTGGATTGGGGTGCACAGGCAGAGTCAGAGGAGGAAGGTTACACAGCACTAAACTCCCCCAGGGAGCCCTCCTCTAGCTGCTGCTATTTGTCCTTCACCCTGACCTCCAAATTCACATTTTGTAAAGGAGAAAAAATTCCATGGATTACTTGAATTGACACATTTTGTAGTTATTAGGTTTATTTAGCTCATTAAGGGCCTAATTATTCAGGGCACACATGCATAAACTGAACTCTACTGAATCAAAGGGAAGATCTGCCTGCACAATAAGGAGTATGGGATCAGACCCTAAAGCAGCAGGATCTACGCCAGCTGAGAAATGGTAAACTCATTAGGAGGTAATAATGTACCAGTACATAAGCTCATCAGTGTGATAAGGAAGCAGCTTACTTGATATGGAGGTATAGAGAGCAAAGGCCTTAAGGCTGGTCATTTCCTTTTGCCGGGTTTCCTCCACACTGCTGTGAAAGATATGTTCCCAGGCATAGAGTTTAAGGAGTTTAATGCCCCGAAGCATCTCATTTGTTTTCTTCAGTCTCTCATTGGAATATTCCTGCAACAATTACATGTAAATTAATTTAAGGAGGATTACTAGAGCACCTTAGAATGAGGATCTGTGTCACCATGTAAACATCCTGCAGTCCCCAGCAGGTTGCATAGAGTAATCAGTCAATAATATTTTCAATGGCTCTGTCCATTCAACATTCCCTTTCTAGGGGTGTGATTTTCAAAAGTGTCTAGGTGACTAAGGAGCACAAAGTCCCACTGACTTTCAATGGGACTGGTGTTCCTAAATCACCTAGCTAATAAAAATCTCACCCCTACATGGTCTTTCAGACACACCCAGGGGTTGGCATGATTTCTAGTGCCAAGAATGTTTGCTGAATGTTCACTGTGTAATGAAATATCCCCACGTAAAGTAAATCTCAGTAGCTGCTGACAATCTGAAATAAACATTTTACATGGTAATTAAAAGCCACACAGACTGCCACTGTATAATGTGCTAGTAAGGATGTACTAAATTGAACACATATGTTGTTTTGTAATTCTTTTCTTTTTTTCCAAGGCAACCCATTATTGCTCAGATATGAGGATGAAGGCCACACACATTTCTAGAGGAGTTGATACTATGGAAGGTATTTGGAGGTGGGGATACTTATGTATAACTCCCATTAATACTCAGTGCTACGTGTGCATACTGAGGGCAAAGTAGATCTCAGGGAGCAAATCTTGTCCCCTGACCCCCTAAATGGGCTCACATGGCTGGAAAGGCAATGCAATAGTGATTCTACTGAGTATAGGGACAGGCTTCAGAGGAGGGCTCCACATTCTTTGTGCTGTGAAGCACTGATCTGTGGCAACTTGGGCTGCAGCAGTGCAGGTGATTGGATGGGGGAGAATTTAAGTGCAAGTCAAGGCAGGGTTAAGTGATGACCAGTGGCTATGCAAACTATGGGGTTCTACTAACCAAACCCCCACATGTATCATGTTGCATGGCTGCTAGTACTTTTCAGAGGCTACAGTAACAGCCGGGTGTGTTTGCACCGATATTCTGTGACAGTGGCACTAGAACATTTTTAATAGTGGGGGTGCTGAAAGCCAGCCCCCTTATCCCTGTCCACCCCACCGAGCTGAGGCCGACAGCTGGGACCCCGGGTGTACGTGGCTGGCAGCCGGGACCCCGGGGGTTCTGCAGCAACCCCCGCACCACTAGTTCCTGCGCCTATGCTCTGTGACTTGTTCTGAGCTAGAGTGCAGGAGTCCTTCTCCCTATGCCCCCGCCCCCCAACTAGGTTCATTTTTTTGGGCTTTGTGTGGGATGAGCATTTGGCTCTATTATGTACAATAGCATTTCAGTGGACAGAATGATCATTGACTTTGTTTTAATTTATAAGACAGGAAAAGAGAAGAATTATCAAATCTCAAGTTACTTACTGTAAAGAGAAAAACAACAACCGTTTAAGAGAATAATTCTAAGACAAATTGTCTTTTCATCACTTTCGCATCCTGCCTTTGACATACTAGAATGTTACAAAATCTTTGACAGGCAGTATTTGGTCAATGTCATAGGCTTAGCTTTGCAATTCTAAATGCAGATGAATGAAGAAATACCAGAGATACTTACCAATGTGCTTCTTTGGGCCTGTGAGAGTTTTGTTGCCACAAAGTACTGGACAGGTGCAAGAACTATGATCACTACTGCTCCAATTAAGGCACTGATTCCAAGCAGGTAGTAGAGCAGAAGCACACCTACAATAATCTGATGTAAGAAAGGGTGAAAAGACAAGGAATTACCTCATTGTATACGCACAGCAAAGCATAAGCAGACAGTGAAGGCCATAAATGCCCCTGGATTGTATGCTGAAAAACAGCAATTCACTATGACAAAGCCTGCCTCAGGGTTTCATGTACAACCCCAGAAGTTTTGCTTGATATGCTGCATTACTAACCTACCACATAAAGTGTTTTAAATCCACCAAAGCTATGCAATCTCCAAGGAAGGCATGTGGTCTGAACAAAGATGGGAGGAGTAGAGGTCAAGCCAAAGTACAAAAAAACCACAAAAAACCTAAACCCAAACCCAACCCATAATTATGGTCAATTTACCCTGCTCAGAGTCTCATTAACTTACTACTGGTAGAAAAAGCACAGCTTGGTGTGGAAAAATATGGATGTTCCAGTGTGATTCTAAATAAACATACAGGGATCTTCTTCCATTGGTGGGCTGTGTTTTTTTAATCTCAGATTGCAAGAAGTTTAGAAAAGCTTGCTGTACATTTCTGTACTGCCTGGATTCCCTGCTACAGATAGTACCATGTACAGAATATTACAGTGCTCTGTATTGCAACAAAGTACCATAGGTGCTACGGTAACAAACAATAAAAATAGTTGAAAATCTTTTCATTTAGTATTTCTCGCTGTGCTGTTGACAGTTACTACAGCCCTTTTCCCCCCTTGGTGATTGGATGACATGATGTGTACTTTATTACACTTGCACATATTTTTGTCACAATTTTTGGCAGATTTAAAGTCTCTTCCCCCCTTTTTTTAAATTAAGGGGAAACCTACAGCTCCAAGTTTGAACTCAATCTTTCAGTCCATGATGCATGGGAAAAGTCTAATTTAATTCATTAGGATTATACATACATAA